TCCAAGCTCAGAAACCAAGATAACCTCCCCAAGCTCAAGAAATCTGGTCAAAATCAACTCTGCGAAGTACTGTTCAAACCAGCAACGTTTACTTCTTTCCCAGCGATTTAGGAGGAATCAAGCTATGAAATCAGTTGTGGGAGGTGCGCCAGAGGGTGGCGACCCCCAAACAAAAGTCCTTTTGCACAAACAATCTCTGAATTTTGAATCCAAGCTGAAAAAGTAATCTGCGTTGAACAACTGCGATGAACAGTAAAATCTGCGACCCAGCACCTCCAAAAATCGTATCTTTTGCTCAAAAATCCAAAATTTTCCAATTCTAATCGGTAGAAAAGAAAGATAGATGGATTCCGAGCTAGGGATAACAGGTTTTAGGAGGATTAATCGAAGAAAATTTCCTTGAGAGAGCTAAGCAGGTGCGCAAGAGCCTAAAAAAATCCGACCGTTAGGAGGTGCGAATTTTCTTAGAGAGAAGGACGAGCGTAATTCTCAACTTGCCCCAACTTTTTTAACGGTTATGTTTAGTAAAATGGAGTGATGATGTTGGGTGGGCTTATGAATTAGGCTCCAGAAGCTCAACTTCATACATATATACGATATGTCCAGTCGTCCGGCCAGCCTGACCAGAACTGTCGTTCGGTCGAGGGCATTTCAGGAACTTCTTGGTGAATTTTTTTGATGAATTTTTTTGAACATGTTCTTCATCAAGCCTACTTTATCCATACCAAATTTTAACTAAATATTCAATCAGAAAGACAGTCAAATAATTTTTGAAAGATAACTGTGCAGTATTCCACGCCATCTACATCCACAATAGGGTCTTCTCAGGTACTACGATGTGATAGAGTTGTTTTTCCAGCCTCGTAACCAGCGCAGACGCCTCTAACCACAGCCACAACCACATGATATTTGTAATTTACATTGTTGTGTGAAACATTCACTAGCTGATCGAATTATTTTGTGAAACAATGCATTTATTATCGACTTTATGTGGTATTTCAAGTATTGTGATCCAATGTAGTTTCATTGATTCGTTTAGTGTCTCAGATATATTTTGTTTTTGTAGAAATGTATATTAACTATAAAGATCAAATGTTTTTTTAGTTGAATGCGCTGTAATGAGCAGGTTTTTTGTTGATCGCATTGTTAGAAGAAGGTTTTTTCGTTTAATGGCATGTGCAGGTATTTACTGAACAAAAGAGTCAACACTTGGAGTGATGGCTGTTGTACTTGACAGAAGAACCGCCACTTTGAGTGTCGGCTTTCCTTAACCGTGATTAACTCCAACAGTATTTTGAGAAATATTTTTAACCTAGCAATATTTCGGGATTTGTTTATTAATTAGTATTATTTCGGGGGAAACTCGAGATTTTGCTATAAAAAAATCTAGATTGAGTGGTGAGTAGAAATGAATCCAGTATATACAATCAGCGAAAATCTATTTCAATTATTTTCACCTCCATCTTTGATGCCAAAATATGATTAGATACATTAGGGCTGAATTTGAAAAAGTGAAAACCAAAATCAAATTAAAATAAATCGAACCGCAACCAAATTAAATTGAATCGTAAAAATTCGAAACCGAACCATAGTTATTTAGTTTGGTTTCGGTTTTGATCTTTCAAACCCGAACTGAATCGAATAAACCAAACTAATTGTAATATGAAATTTTATTTGTTAACCGTTAAGTTTAATTAATCTAGTACCATTGATAGTATTTGTTTTTTTTGTGTTAGAAAATTAATTTATGTGCTATGTTTGATTAGTTTTGTTTATAAATGCATGTACACATTCATTCATTCCCTACAATAATGTAGCTATATTGATCTATTATGTCTTATATTGATCTATTTTGCACTTAATTGTTGCATAGTGGCAATATGTTTTTGTTGGTTATTACTCGTAATTTAAAGTTCTTATACTGACAAAACAAATAAATATTCATCCCAACTATATCTCATAGAACTTTTATTATTCATGAACTTTTTCAAACTATTTACAAATAATGTAAATTAAGAACACACATACACTTTTTTTTTTCAAAAATTTGGAAAAATGTATCTTCTCTCCCGCATATACTCATATAATTTAAGACATTTTCATTTCTTCTCTTTTTATTTTATTTGTTCTTCATTTTTATTTAATATGTAGTTTTGAAGTGTAAAACCAAACTGATACTGAACAAAACCTTTTATTTTAGTTCCTTATTTTGATTTTGGTCAAAACCGAACTGAAGGAACCAAACTCCCCCTAAGATAAATCATATAATAGTAAGTATTTTATAATATATAAAATAATAAGTATTTTATCATATATAAAAAGTAAGTGATGGATAGTGAATTAGTGATACCGGGGGTACCGTTATCAATACATATTATTGTAGAGAGAAGGGAGAGCTAGAGAGTGTATTTGCCTACGAGGGTGTATTTGCCGAGAAGATTTTGTCATATTCGGGAGATGAATTTTTGGGTCATGCCTCAGAGAGCGAGAAGAGAACTCCTATTTCAGCATTTGAGGATTTATGGGACTCGGACACAAATGAGGATATTTGCAACAAGGCTCGCTTGGTCACGAAGGAGAACTGTTTGCCCACTCAAAATCTCAACACTCAAATGAAATTATACAGAAAAAAGCACCAGCGATCACATTCAATGAGAACGAGATCCCAATCACATGTGGAGTTTTCTTAGTTTAAGAAAAAACTTACTCTTTTTCAGGGAGGGCGTGTTTTACTTGTACTTGGGGTTGGGCTCTTTCTTCTTATTCTTCCTTTGTTTTACTTGTACTTGGGGTTGGGCTCTTTCTTTTCGTTTTTTGTACTCTCCTTTGCTGATTCGCTAATAAAATTTTCCCTTAAAAAAAAAGAGAGAAGGGAGAGCTAGAGAAAGAAAGTGAGAATGTATTATCAGTTAACCATCCATTACAAAGATTCAAAGAGAAGTATATATAGGCAAAATGTGTTCTTGGGTTGCTGGGCTAGGTCTAGCAGGTCCAATTACATAAAAGGGGGCTAATGGCTACATAAAAGCTAATATGTGCAAGGGTGTTATGAAGTGCCGAAGGCATAATGACCGAGGGCATAATGGTCGAGGGCATAATGGCCGAGGGCATCACGACCGAGGGCATCATGGCCGAGGGGTACCGCCGAGAGGGGCTGCCGAAGGGCCGTCGATGGGTCGTCGAGGGTGCCGCCAAGGGGTGTTGCCGAGGGGTCGTCGAGGGTGCCGCCAAGGGGTGTTGCCGAGGGGTCGTCGAGGGTGCCGCCGAGGGGTGTTGCTGAGGGGTTTCGCTGAGTGTCTAGGTTGCATAACTGCATAAGTATGTGGCCCAGAGGCTCCTGGATCATATACTCCATGAGTAAGTATTTGTGTATGATTAATTGTTGTCATCACAAAATTCAAATGAGCGAGTTATAAATCAAATTAATGCATAACATGCACTGACCATTCCGTGAATGGGCATAGATAAAAATTAAAAGTAAATCCATTATGATTTAACGAGAAAAATCTGTTGGCTCAAGAGTGATTAAAAACTTGACCTCCTTTGAAGGAATTTCAAATTCTGGTTTACTAAAAAGCCTTTTGAACACAATCACAAGACAAATTCGATCTCCTAGTATACCTTTAAAACACCTCAACTCAAACCTCACTCCATAGAGTTGTGTGACCTTATCTTGTGAATAAAATAGACTCAACCCTCACAAGATAAACTCGGCCTCTCTGTATTTTTCTTCACCTCTTGCTCACGTTTCTTCATTGCCCATATTTATGGGCTATGGTAGAGTATCGAGGAAAGCTAGGGTATTTGCTTATATAATGTGGGTATTTTACTTTCAAATGATTTCCTTTGGAGAAAAAACTTCCGTTAACAGTACAATTGACTATAAGAGCATCTCCAATGTTATAATGTCCACGTTGCATATGTGGCATGAGTGATAGCCACATAAATATTAGCAAATAAATTATTTCTCTCCTTATTTGAATGATTTTATACAATTTTGGTAAGTTTTTCCCTGCAATGTCAACATCTAGACGGTCTCCTTGACAGTGTGGAGAAAAACTTACCAAAACTGTATAAAATCATTCAAATAAGGAGAGAAATAATTTATTTGCTAATATTTATGTGGCTATTTCTCATGCCACGTGTGCACCGTGTACATTTTACCATTGGAGATGCTCTAAGAACAGATCAACAGATCCGCTATTTCAGAATATCTTTCCTTTAACACAATTCCTTTGAGAAGAAAATATTTTCTTTAGGTTTAAAATAATTTCCTTATAAAAACAAGTTTTATTTAACTTTTTAGAATGCTTGAAATGAGGAAAGAATTGATACAAAGATGTTTTCCTTTTTAGAGTAAAAAGCCTTTTCAATTTAGTTAGTTTGAATATTAAAAACAGGCTCTCAGGCGCCCGAATATTATCAAGGAAAATATTGGGAAAAGGGGCAAATAAGCCCACGTACTAGCAAAAAAAGGTCAAATAAGCCCTTATTTAGGAGACTCTGTCCGGCCGTCACCATTTGGGGCGGTTCCCGGTGGAATTTTTTTATGGAATTTTTTGAGCATCTTATTCATTAAGTCTAGTTTACTCATACCAAATTTCAATTAAAACATCAATCAGGAAGACATTCAAATGAATTCTTGAAGATAACTGCGAAAGTAAAAGTGCAGTTACCTTCAAGAATTCATTTGAGTGCTTTCCCGATTGAAGTTTTAGCTGAAATTTGGTATGAGTAAACTAGACTTAAGGAGTAAGATGTTCAAAAAATTTCATCAAAAAATTCCACAGGGAACCGCCCCAAATTGCGACGGCCGGACAGAGCCTCCTAAATAACGACTTATTTGACCTTTTTTGGTTAGTACGTGGGCTTATTTGCCACTTTTCTCGAAAATATTTGATCAAATAAGTAGCTCTTCCTAGTTAGAAGACATGCTTTAGTTGTTGTTGGCTTGTTCCAGAATATATATAACCTTCTCATGTACTACTACATCCTTTTAAAGAACAAATGCAACACTAATAACTGCATGATGGCATCAACAAAATAATATGTCTCGTTCCAACAAGGCAACAATTGGTATCCTTACTAATGAAAAACAATTTCTAGACACAAATTAAGTTGTGTCGCGAAGAACCTCGACGTCCAATACAATGACGTCATCTGAACTACACCTTGAACTGCAAAGTTTAAAAATACATTTGTCTCCTATTTTTAGATTGTTGCTTGTAGCGAATTCACGCCAACCCTTGTAAAGGAAACCTCTACCGCCACTATAAACTTTGAAGGTAACTTGGTGTTCACCGTTTGGACCCTTCATAGATACTATTGTGTTATCACAAAATCCATTTGCCACACAATATTCTTTAGGCATATACTGCATGTGAGTAAAACAAGTAGTCTCAGATATGCACAAATTATAAATCTTTATTCTATGTTTTAGCAAGGACTTATTCAATGTTAAAATTGAAAGCAGTTTGTAAGTCTTATTTTTGAGGTGGATGAAACTTATTTTCATATTATGATTCTATATGAAAAAATGTATATCTTTGGTTCCTTATTATGGAATTGTTTCTATATATTTAAAGGAAAAACGAGGAAGCTAATTAAGAAACTCTGTATAGGGTGAGGGTGCTAGTTCTCAAAGTTTGGTCAAAATAAACTTACCAGTATTGGCCGCGCAAATGAAGCTATATTGTAGCGCTTCATTGTCATTGTAAATTGGCGAAACTGCTCCCCTGAAGATACATTCAACACTTTGGCCTCTATCTTTCCTACACATTACATGGGGCAAACAATAAGAGCCTAATTAGGGACTGTTTGGAACTGATTATGTTTTTGCTTCTTTTTTAAAAGCAGAAGCAGAATCAGTTTTTTAGAAGCTAGTCAACTTCTAAAAGCTATTTCTAGTAGTAATTTAAAGCACCCAGAAATATTTCTGCACTTTCACCCAAACAATCCATTATTCTATTCTATATTTGAGGATAGGATAATGGATTGTTATAAAAAACACATAGGATAATAGGATAATGGTAACTTCTACACCTCGAAAGAGCAGAAGCAGTTACAAAAAAACAGATCCAAACACCTCCTAAAACGTAAGGTTATTACTTTATTATTAGTATAAAAGTAAAGTTAATTACACTTATTACAACAATTTGAATTTCACATTTGAAAATGGACAGATTTGCCCACTGATTTATTAACTATTAGTAAAAATAAGTTAAAGTTTATATTTAGAAATTGTACCTTTTTCACAAATTTTATACTACGTAATACTTTTATATTATACGGAGTAATACTTTTAATATATAAATAAAATGTAATTCATCAGTAATTTAAAAGTCAAAGCATTACAACTATAAAAGAATCTATAATCATTTTCTTCATTTTTAGGTAAAATCACACTTTTGAGCTCTCAATTAGCCGTCATATTGAAATGTCAGCCCGTGTTTCTGATATTGTAAATGTCACTCCCAATCGACAAATATGTTGTAAATTTCATACTCGCCGTTTACAATCCAACTAACAGCCTCAATCGAACTATCCTCAAAGCCTAAAAAAATTCGCATGAGGGTGGAAGATAGGCTCAAGAACTCCCAAACATTCTATGTATTTACATAACAACTCCACGATGAACCACACATGAAACACCTTACAACCGAACAGAACAATGAACAGAACCTCACAATTAACCTCAATCTCATTGATGATCGAGCGTAGAGAAAATGCTTTCATCCGAGCAGAAAATTATGTTAGTCACGCTGCACCATTATCATTTATTTTATTATGTACATAATTTTAATGTAACAAATTCTTATGTACGTAGTCTTTGTATTAAACTAGGAAAGAGTTAGTCATTTATTTTCTTTCCTTGTATTACGCATGGTAAGTACGTAGTACATGCGGCCATGCGGGTACTTCTTGTATAAAGGGAGGCCGAGACCTCTTTGGTTAAAAGAGAGAATAGATACTGAAAATATTCACCTTATTCTTTCCAGATTTTACATGGTATCAGAGCAGGCTTAGGGACCTGCGATTCACAGTACGACGGAGCTATGGCCGGAGAAGACGGCCATCGTGAAAATGTTGAACGAAGGAAAATTAACGACCCTTCGTCGCCTTATTTTCTGTCCAGTTCAGATCATCCTGGCATGGTGATTTGTGCAGTTGTCCTTAGAGGAGAGAACAACTACCGGGAGTGGGCGACGGCGATGAAAAATGCGTTTCGTGCCAAACGGAAAATGGGATTTCTCGACGGCACGATTCAACGACCCCTCACTGTTCCTAGGGATCTTGAAGATTGGCTCACCGTAAATTCCATGACGGTGGGATGGATTATGACCTCGGTGGATCCGGCTTTGAGAACAAACCTCGCCTACATGGAAAGCGTGCATGATCTCTGGACAGATTTGGAGGCGCGTTTCTCGGTAGGTGACGCGATGCGGACTCATGAATTGAAGGAGATGCTGCGTAATTGCAAGCAGCATGGCCTACCTCACAGTTTCAGGTAGGACTTGAAGGTTGCTACCGCCGCCGTTGCTTCGGGGAGATTCAAGGGAGGAGACGTGGTTCGTGCTTCTTCCGTTCCTGTTTTGAAAACATTTTAAATATTGCTCATGGATACTATTTGAATATTTATTGGGGCTTGTACGCCCGTGTTTGCCACGTGTGGCATGGATATTTGTATTAACGTTTCCGCTGCTTGATTAAATATTTTGCATTATGATTGTTTATGGATGTACTATTGTGAATGATATTCATGACGCCTAGTATAGTATGGATGAGTTGAACTGCGGTTGACTATTCGTACTGTACGGCGGGTTGTTGACGTGTCCGGTAGGTCCGGGGCGTGACAATTTAATTGGTATCAGAGCCTTAGTCCGTAAACTTCATAATGAAGCTTCAAAATCCTTTTTGAAAATGATTTTGAAAACCATGAGCATAAAGTTTTGTACTTATAGAACTTTTGGTACTTGAGTTGCAAGGTCTCTAATTGTTAAGATGGTACCCTTAACAATTGGCATGGCGGCGATTTGAGCCAAGGGATGTCTTTAAGTGCCTATCCGTCATTTGACATTTGATACGGGTCTAATGACTCAACTTCTATCTCTTTCAGAAATGGAACGTACCGGTAAAGTCACTCGAAGAAACCCGACTGGCCAGGCACGGGGAGGATCCCAACATGGCAGTCGAGGGGCATCGAGGGCGTCTCGTGGGCAGGACCGTGCGGGTCACTCGTTAACGGTGAGTGACGGTCATGTGGAGACAATCGATGAACAATACGATTCCGAGGAGGATTCGACGTATCAACCGGGAACCGAGCCGGTTGAGACCCCATATGATGGGGAATATGATGATGATGATGAGAGCGACGATGATGACGCTCTAGAAAGGATGGAGGAGCTGCTCCGTCAATACCAACAGGATCGCCAAAGGCGCCGGGCAAGGCGTGCTTTGGGAGGGGCTTCCAGGGGAGGAAGCCGTGTGGGTTCTAGGGGACATGTAGAGTCCCGGAATGATCGAGGTACCGAGGTCCCGATAATAAGGATCTCAAAGTACCTCAAGGAGGCAAGAGACTTGGGGTGTAAACCGTTTGATGGAACGGGAGACATCTCCATTGCGGCCGAGTGGATCAAGAGATTCAACGAAGCGGCTCTTGACATGGAGCTGCCGCCGATCATGAAGTTGAGAGTGGCAACGAGGTTGCTAGAGGGAATGGCGTCCACGTGGTGGGACGGCGTCAAGGGGAAGTATGGTGAGGCAGTCACTTGGGAGAACTTCCGTCAAGAATTCTTTAACCAATACTACTCCGACTTCGAGGTGAACTTGAAGAGGAGGGAATACACCAACTTGACCCAAGGAGGCAAGTATACCGTGAGGCAACTCGAGCATAAGTTCAGGGAGCTTGCCGAGTTCATTCCGGAGTACATATGTGATGAGAACCGGATGGTGAACCACTTCTGGGATGCCTTGGACCTTGACATACGCGAGAGGGCAACACAATTGCCTAATATGACGTTTAGTCAAGTTGTTGAGCAAGGCTTGAAGGGGGAGAAAGAATGGGAAGAAAGAAAGTGGAGGAATGCCGAGGAGGCAAAGAAGAGGAAATGGGAGAACCAAGGCTCCCAAGGTTCCAATAAGAAAGGGAACCACGGGGGAGGGAGCTCTTTTAGAACCCCTGCACCGCCATCGAGAGGAAACCCGGGAATGAGTGGACAACACTCGGGGTCACAAGCCTCAACAGCGCCCAAATGCAAGAATTGCAAGAGAAACCACGTGGGCAAGTGTCGTGATCCCCCGAGGTGCTATCAATGTGGTGACACGGAGCATATGAGGTCAAGTTGCCCGCAACTTGGGCGAGCCGTGAGTGCCGGGCCGAGTGGTGGGACCACGATGAGCAGGAACCGGACAGCGGCACCTCACGCAAACACGGGGCACGGTGGAGCTAGCACAAGTAATGCACCGTCCGTGAATCAAGGGAGGACCCAAGCGAGGGTCTATGCGATTACGGAAGCCGATGCACGTGCTAACCCGGACTCCGTCGCGGGTAAATTCTTGAACTTTTGATGTTATTTCCTTGTAAACAATATAAATGTTGGAATGTATAAGTTTTATGGCCAACCCAGCCTGTTTAAAGTCCAAAGAAGTGGACAATATCTGCCTGGGGCGAAAGCCGCCCGGCTTTGACGAACGTCGCCCGACGTTTGTCTATGATTTATTTCATAAATCCTACGGCGACCATAAGCCGCCCGACGTTGACGAAAGCCGCCCGGCTTTCGTAAAGGATTTTTTGTTAAAATCCTTCGGCGTATAAAAACCGGCCGAGTTTTGTAAAAACCGGCCGGCTTGTGTTCAGGCCTCTCCGGTGTGAGGCGCTGTTAACGAAAACCGGCCGGCATTCGTAAGAACCGGCCGGCTTTTAGGAATTAAAATTTGGGAATTCCTTCGGTGACCGAAAACCGGCCGGCTTTGGCAAAAACCGGCCGGCTTACGTAACCAGCCATTCCGAGCCGAAGGCCAAGGTACGAAAACCGGCCGGCTTTCACGAAAAGCGGCCGGCTTTCACTTATTGGTGCATGGTGTTGGTTTTTGGGTGGGAACCGGGATGGAATCGGGATGGGGCGTTAGATGACGATCATCCAAACCATAGCCGGGGTACTCTTTTACCTAAGAAATGAGTCTAATAAGTGGGGAGTGTGTCTTACATTGCTTATGAATGTAGGAACACTAAAGATTAACGGGAGAGACGCAAGAATCCTCATTGACACCGGGGCGCAACGATCATTCGTGAGTGAGGCGTTTGCCGGGGGATTCAAAGAACCACTTGTACCGATGGCTCAAGCCCTATTGGTATCCACACCTCTAGGGGAAGACATCGAGAGAGATAGCCACTATCCATCGTGTGAGGTGGAAGTGGAGGGCCAAAACTTGACGTGTGATTTCGTACCGCTGAGTATGATTGAATTCGATGCAATCCTGGGGATGGATTGGCTTGAGAAACATCATGCTAGGGTCGATTGCTACACAAAGATACTTGAACTTGAAGGCGATGAAGGGGTAACCTTACGCTTCGAGGGGGATCGGGCCAAATCCAATAGTTGTATCATATCCGCCGTAAGAGCTAGGAGTATGATGAGAAAGGGTTGCCACGCATATCTAGCATACGTGGTAGACAAAACAAAGGAAGAGACGAACATTGATGATGTGAGGGTGGTATGCAAGTATCCGGATGTCTTTCCAAAGGACTTACCGGGACTTCCACCCGATAGGG